TTATTGCGATCAGATATAGAAAAGACTGAGAACAGCAGAAGAACCTGTGTGGCTCAAACTGGCACGATGTTTAAATCCCATCAGCTCCTGAGTCGACAGTTTGTGCAGTCAACAAATGAAGAGCCGACATCCTTACACGGACCGGAACCACCTACCGCCATTTCTCCGGTTTCTGATGCCTCGCGACGCTCGACTGACACATGACGAGAAGAGACGGCGAGGAATGTGAGCCTTCATCATCAGAGGAAACAGCCTGTCGTCATCATCCTCAGTGAGTCTGAACCACTGTAAGCTCACACATTCATTTCTCATAATGCTGACACACACACACACGAGTACACAAGTACACACATCCTGTACTTCAGCAGAGGTACAGACTCTCACGCACCACAAAGTTGAAGCACAGCTTCTTTAGTGTTCACTTAGAGCCTCAGGTGTGTGAACCTGCACGGCTCAGGTGTGGCAGCGTGGGCTAACACCGCAGCTGTAGCTAAAGGTTGCTTCAGCCCGTGTAAACATCACACACGTGCTCAACCTGCCAACAATGGAAGCAGGTGAGCGGCTCTCACAGGGACGATCCTCAGTGCACAGTGAACGAGCCTGCTGTGGAATGTGGAAGTGGGAGTGTGGGAGGGAGAGTTTTCCATTTTCCCTCCGGCAGTAGGAAACATCCCAATAAGGACGGCAGGGCGGGTTCTTGCCGCTGACGCTGTGTGGGTGGGGCCTGCTGCCTGATTAAATGGAGCAGTGGTGATGAAGGCGAGCAGAGCTCCGACTGTGAGACAAACTGAAGGATGGCGATGCTGCTGCAGCCTCTGTGGACCTTCGTGCTGGGACACGCCCCCCTCCTGCGCTCGCCCTTCTTCCCCGTGCTCTTCTCGCTCTGCGTCTACCTGTCCTTCTGCCTGCCCTTCCTGCTGCTGGACGCGCTGTCCACCAGGTGGGCGTGGGTGCTCAGGTACAAGCTGCAGCCTCAGAGCTCCGTCAGCTGGTCGTCGGTGCGGCGCTGCCTGGCTCTGACGCTCTACAACCACCTGGTCTTCATCTTCCCGCTCACCGTGCTGCACTGGTACCTGAGGCCGGTGCACCTGACCGAGGAGGCCCCGCCCCTTCCGCGCCTGCTGGCTCAGGTGCTCGTGTGCCTGCTGCTCTTTGACTTCCAGAGCTTCGCCTGGCACCTGCTGCACCACCGAGTGCCCTGGCTCTACCGCACCTTCCACAAGGTGAGTCCCCGAGGACGATGGCGGTGGTGACGATGTCACGCCTTTGTTCTTCCTCCACCTCACGCTCTCTCTCCTCCTCCTGCAGGTGCACCACACCTACACCTCCACCTCCGCCCTCACCGCCGAGTACTCGGGCACCTGGGAGACCCTCAGCCTGGGCCTGTTCGCTGCCGCCAACCCCCTCCTGCTGGGCTGCCACCCGCTCACCGAGCTCACCTTCTTCGTGGTCAACATCTGGCTGTCGGTGGAGGATCACTGCGGCTACGACCTGCCGTGGGCCACGCACCGCCTGGTGCCGCTGGGGCTGTACGGCGGGGCGCGCCACCACGACCTTCACCACCTCAAGTCCAAGTGCAACTTTGCGCCGTACTTCACCCACTGGGACCGCCTGGCCGGGACGCTGCAGACGCAGGACTGAGCCGCCGTGATGGCGAGGAGCTGATGTAGAGACATTTTCTATTTATTTATTTCTTCCTGTTTTTATTTATTATGCCACTTCTGAGCCCACCAATCACAGCGGGCTCTCCTCGACTCGCTGCTCCTCTCTGACGTAGAGACGGAGCAGTCGGAGCCACGAGAGCGCCGTGAGCCGTCGACGGCGTGAGCACGTTAACTGATACCGGACAGATGTGCCGATGAGGCAGCTGGCTGCGAGTGCGGGACAGACGAAAGTGAAACGAGGGACAGAGATAAGCTGGCGAGGAAGACGAGGAGTCGCGCCGCCGCTGAAGGAGAAGCGCGGCGTCAGAGGGAAACTGGAAAGTTTGATTCTGAACTGGGAAGTGAAAGTTTGAGCACTGAAGACAAAATGAAGCTAAAATAAAGTTTGTGAAGAGAAGCACACAAGTCTGTTTCCTGTTTGTGTCGAAACACACACACAGACGCACCACACACGACAAAAGACAAACCAACACGACACACACAACACACACACACACACACACACACACACACAGACGCACACACACGACACACACACACACACACACACACACACACACACACACACACACACACACACACACACACACACACACACACACACACACACTCACACACACACACACACACCTGTGTGTCTGTGAGCTTCAGCAGGAGACAGATCGTTGGTGGAGACGATCTCTGAACGTCACGATTCAAACAGCATCTGTGAACATTCAGCAGGAATAAAGTTTATTGTTAATAATCACAATTATTCAGCACGTCGTCTGCAGAGACGTCGTCATGTTGTTTAAGTAAAAATGGAGGCAGAGCCTTCAGTTTTTAGGCCCCATCTCATCTTAATGACCTTATAGTACCATACCACCCCATTAGAGCACTTTTCAGGTGTGTTGCAACAGCCCTCGAGGGCTGGAGTTTGAGACCCCTCTTGTCCAAGAGTATTTAAAAGTAGAATGGGAGGCAGAGCCTTCAGTTTTCAGGCCCCTCTTCTGTGGAACCAGCTTCCAGTTTGGATTCAGGAGACAGACACTATCTCTACTTTCAAGATCAGGCTTCAAACTTTCCTTTTTGCTAAAGCATATAGTTAGGGCTGGACCAGGTGACCCTGAATCCTCCCTTAGTTATGCTGCAATAGACGTAGGCTGCTGGGGGATTCCCATGATGCACTGGGTGTTTCTTCTTCACTCACTATGTGTTAATAGACGTCTCTGCATTGAATCATATCAGTTTTTCGGTCTTTAAGTGACGACGTGACGAATCCTGCTTCCGGGCCCAAAGTAGTCTGCATTTAACATGGCGTTTGTGTTTTTAACATGTTTAATGCTTTGTATCTTGTTCTATTTGATCTAAAAAGCCCCTAAAAACAGTCAGTGATCACTGCCGGCCTCCCTCGGCTTTTATTACCACTGTTCATTTTAAAGCTCAGTGTTTAAACCCTTACGATGTAACTGCAGCCCCAGCAGCAGTATATGAATGACTAACCTCGTATTGTGGATGGATTATCTCAGTTGTTCTCCTGACTGAAGTTTGGTCCGTTTACAGCATCCTGCCATGCGACTGCATTTGTTCCTGACCACCGAGAACACTCACGTTAACTTTTATCGAGTGGAAAGAAGTTAGCGTTCATCCTCCAGCTTCACTGTTTATGCTAACATAGCTGTGTCGCTAGCGGTCACGTAGCACATCATTATATACCAGCTAGCCCAACTTCAGTAACCCTGCAAACGTCACTGCTGTTTAGTTTCTGTCTTCATTTATGTTGGAAGTGATAGCAGAGCTGTACGTTTGACTTTCTCAGAAATCTCTCAGTCAGAACATGCTACATTGTATTTAGATAGAAGCTAGCGAGCTAACTCCCTGCTAACTTCTAACTCCGTTAAATGTCTTAAATTCCGTTTTCATGGATGCCTGGATGTTAAACTTAATTGTTACACCTGGTAGAGCAGAACGCTGATCATTTTATTACAGATGAAAGACTTTAGACAGTTTTTAACTCTCAGTGATGCCGCAGTGATCGTTTGATTTATGGACCTGCAGCAGAGTTTGAGCCCAGACACGGCTAATGACGTCAGACTTAAAGACCGGATTAATCTCCGTCTCTCTTCCACAGCATGTCTTTATCCTGTCTTCCTTCTCTCACCCCGACCGGTCGCAGCAGATGGCCCCGCCCCTCCCTGAGCCTGAATGAGGTGCGTGCAGAGAGCCGCCACTCAGACCTGATCTCTAAACATTTAAAGAGGATTTTTTTCAATCATATCAGGCCCTTGTTTCCCTGATATGATTCACCAATAAAGGAAGAGACGGGTAAGCGCAGGAATGTGCTGCAGCATGAGTAATCGCACTGAACCGAGCGTGCTCCTCTGTGACCTGCATGTGTGTGACTATCAGCACAGCAAAGACCTGAAGGACAGACATGCTCTTCAGGCAGTGTGTTGTATGTTACAGTGTGACGGCTAAATTCACACTCGGGTACATAAACTAAACATAATCATTAACAGTTAATACAGCTGGCTTTTTAAAAGGATCTGAATCTCATTTCTCTGGCTGTCAGTAGCCCTCTTGTAGATCTCTAAGCTGTTATAAAGATAGTTTATACAAGAACAATGTTTCTACACACGGGAATTTGTGAGACTTGGGTTCAGTTTATTAATTATACAGGACGTCTGTAGACACACAGCTCTGCAAAGTATCTCAGAATATTTCAGATGAATAAAAACCTGTGAAAAGTTTCTGCCAATAAAAAAGCCAAGTGTAAATCTCCCTGCTGGTGAACGTTTGTCACCGAGAGATCTTTGCTCAATAATCGTTCCCGCTAAAAAGCAGGATAAAACCTTAGTTCATAATCAGCCTCGACAGCTCAGTCTGCTTATCACAGAGCTGCAGTCAGGCTGACGATCACAGCTGCTTCTTGTGTTTCTGCGGTTCAGCTTTGGCGGCTCTCTCTAGCTTTATGTTGAAGAAACACAGCATGAGCACAATCAGAATCAACCACTGACCAACGAAGGAAGCCGAGCGTGGAGCCCAGTATCCACCGGCTATTCAGGCATTAATGGTTGATCTGTGCCCGTCTTTGTGATGCCTCACCCCCGCAGGCTCACAGACAACAGGTGACCTGAAAACATCCTCGCACCGGACGACTCACAGCGCGACCTTCCTCAAGATGCTGCTTGAGCCAACCTATTAGAGCTCACCGTGTACACAAAGCTCCGTATCTGCAGAATACGTGGTCACAAGCAGCACTTACTGAACAACGTGGTTCATTTAGGAACCTGCAGCATCTTAACTGACAGTGACACCATTTCAAACTGACATTGAGCTTGAACCTTGTAACATCACACGCTAGCTGACGTCAGCTTGTAACGTTACGTTAACTTGCTTTGAACTTTGCACAAATGAGGGTTCAATTAAAAAATAACATTAACGTGATATTATTAAAAACGTTAACAGCCTCCATGAAACCTCGTCTCCTGCCTCAAGAAGCAAACGTCCGCGCTCAGGTGTCTTGATGTCCACCATCATTGTACTCGTCCCAACACAGAAAAGCTGCGACTGGAACATGTTTGTCCTGCACCTGCTCGGGTCGCCACCAACACTCAGACTTTCAGGCTCTGAACAGAGAGCAAAGGGTGATCTAGCATCTGTGGTGACTAACGAGGAAGCTGGAAACGCCTCTCCAGAAGTGGAACGCAGCCTTCACAGATGTGAAGGGAAGGCACCACGAATCGTATCCCACAGCTTCACATCTGTCGGCTGCTCTCTGTTTGAGCCTGAAAGTGTTGGTATGTGACTAAACTTAAACCTACTCCGTGCCCCAAACACTCACGAACAACCTGCTGCAAAGTTTTTCTCTGGATGAAAGTCATTTATCTGGAATACAGTGGCTTGGAAAAGTATT